GGGGAGTCCAGATCTTCCTCACCTGTGTCCAGATAAGTTCAGAGCCCCACCTTTGTCCAGGGAAGCCCAGACCTCCGCCCGGTCTTCGAGCCTCCTCGCCCAATGGGCCCCTCCCCCAGTATATTGAGTCTTAGTTAAGACGTAATCCCCGCATTCACTGTCTCCCGCCCCCGTGCCCCGGCTCTCACGCACCTCGGCGGCTGGCCGGGCCCCCTGGGGTGCCGTCCTCCCAGCCGGCTGGCCACCCGACTGGCACCAATTAATTTTCTCCTCGGCCTGTCCACTTGCCAGCTGCTCACCCTCATCCAGCCTGCCCCCACGGGCTCCCAGGGAATTGCTAACAGTTCTGCTCCGTGCAGCCCCCTCCGCCCCAATCCAGCCCACCCCACGCAGCACAGTTAATCAGAAAAAGCTGACAGGACCTGGAGGAGTGATCTGAAATCGGATGGTGGAGGGGTGGGATGTTAAATTTTGGGACCCAGGGATGCTTGGGGTGGGGTGGGGGCATGGTTAAATGGAGTCAGGGGCCCCCGTTGTACCTAAGAACCCCAAACTAAAGGCTTTTGGCTTCTAGATGGGGACTGCAGGGAGGGCTGACCCCGTCCCACACACACCAGGTGGGTAAGGTGGAGGCCCCGCCTCGGAAATTGCCCGTCCCCCACCCCGACAAGATGCGGCAGTGACAGCTGTGCCTCTCCAGCCCGCACCCAGCTGGTTTCCTTTTCCTGCGCACGCTCTCCCGACGGGCTGGCCTTCAGCCTGGAGAGACTCCCTGGCCCCTTGGAAGGGGCTCCCCAGAGGGTCTTCCTGGACGAGGGGGAGGGGACAGGCTGGAGAACAATGGGGCTTCTGTGGCTGCTGGACGTCAGACACTTCCTGTTAACCCTTTCCTCAGGGTGCAGCTGGAGGGAGCACCTCTCAGGTCCCGCCTTGTGGGGTGCGGGGAGAGGCAGGCCAAGGGGAAGTCTTGTTGCTGGAATTAACTGTTGGGTTAATTGAGGCTTTTATGAGTGTGATTAGGAGGGGTGAGGTGAGTCACACCTTTTCTTCCTTGATGGAGTTACAGGGCTTTCTCCTCTGTTGCAGAGGGCTGTGCAGCCAGGGGACCGGCAGAGCTAGCTTGGGAGAAGCCTGTGCGCTGAGCTCTGAGACATTCCAGGCTTCTCCCCAGATAGGTTACACCAGGATATCCAGGGCATGGACAGGGGTGGCACTGGGGGACCCAGCATCCCAGGTGGATCCAAGGAACAGCCACGTCTGCAAACCACTGTTCTCGCTGCCCTGCTGGGCTGGCCTCAGGGCCGTGGTCACTGAGCAGTTCCCTTGGCAGCATGGGTCTCAGTTTCCCTTGGTTTGAGAAGTTCTCCCAAGGGCCTGCCAGGAGGACGTGGCAATCTAGGAGCTCCCTGAGGGGCAGGAGTGGGCCAGGAGCCTTGGAAACGGTTTGTTCCTTCTGGGAGCCCTGGGAAGTCCTGTCGAGGGCATTAGTGGCTTCGTTAATTGAGGCTTCAAGCCAAGTCCCCTCTGTTTACACAGACAGTCTAAGAAGTGCTCACGGAAGATTACCAGAGCCTCCAAAAGTCCCTTTGCTTCTGCCCTGGAGGCTTCTGGTTTTTTGCAGATACGATAACCTCCCCCATAGTCAAGATAGAGAATTACTGATGCTTATGGCAGGCCAGGCCTGAAAGCTATGCTGTACTTGGTCATTTCCATGCATTCACTTTTTTTTTTTTTTTTTTTTTTTGAGACTGGGTTTCACCATGTTGTCCAGGATGGTCTGGATCTCTTGACCTCGTGATCCACCCACCTTAGCCTCCCAAAGTGCTGGGATTACAGGCGTGAGCCACTGCGCCCTGCCAGGTAGGCACTTACATTAGTCCCATTTTACAGACAAGGGAACTGAGGCACAGAGTGATTAAGCAGTGTCCAGGGTTACCCTGTATAGAAACTCAAGCCATTGACTTTCTTCCTTTTCTGGATTTTTTTTTCTTTTGAGTAGGAAGGAGGAGAGCGTAGGGACCTTTGTCTTGGTCCGTAAACTTTGCTTAAATCCAGCTTCTGTCTCTGATTCTCAGATAAGGAACGAGGCTCCTGCTGGGAGCTGAGAGTTGCATGCACCCCAGGTCTCCTCGCCACCCCTGGGCTACCTGTTTCTCCTCTCACATCCAGGCTGATCACTCACTAGGTTCCATCTTAGACTCATTTGCCAGGTCACTTCATTACCCTCTTCTCTCCCCTTTCCACAGGATGAGATCTTCCCCAGGACCAATCTGGGCACACTCAGTCCAGGGGCTCCATAAAGACAAAGTTTGTTGTTGTTCACGTGTTTATTTGTTTTGTAAACATGATTATTATTTTGAGACCTAGTCTTGCTCTGCTGCCCAGGTGGCATGATCTCAGCTCACTGCAACCTCCACCTCCCTGGTTCAAGCAATTCCTCTCCCTCCCAAGTAGCTGGAATTACAGGCACACGCCACCTCGCTTGGCTAATTTTTTTGTAGTTTTAGTAGAGACTGGGTTTCACTATGTCGGTCAGGCTGGTCTCTAACTCCTGACTCAGGCAATCTGCCCGCCTCAGCCTACCAAAGTGCTGGGATTACAGGTGAGAGCCACTGCACCCAGCCCGTAGACGTTATTTACTGAGCAAGATCAAACTGCGAGACTGAAAAGGCTGCTACAAGTCTCCCCACGACCCATCCTTACTGGTGTCTGGAATCAGCAGGGTCCTGGCAGAGTGCACAGGAAAGGAAATGGCTCATTGCTTCAGCCTTTAGACCCCAGGGCAGGGAGGGCCTGTCAGGAGGCCACCTAGTCAGGGGCGTATCAGAGACCAGAGGGGCCTGGGTCACAGCAGCTGGGGCTTGGTGAGCTTTGGGCCCTGGGCTCCAGGCCAGCCCATCGCCAATCAATCTTCAGCTGAGACCCCCTTCCTCCCAGCCCCCACCCCCAGTCCCCTTCCTTCTCTCCCCTGCTGCTGAGGCCCGCCCTTCCGGAGTGAGACTTGATTTGGTTTCTCAGGGACCCGGAAGGCTTGAAGCAAACCTGCAATTACCGCCTGGTGTCTGCGGGCTGCAGCTCTCAGACTCTGGGTGAGGTGGCGGTAGGTGGGGCGGGGCTCTGGGGACCCTTCTTCCCGTTCGGGCTGCTGACTGGGAGAGGCTGCTGAAGTCTGCAGCGCTGCCTTCCACACATCCTCCAGACACTTTCCAAATTCCTGTGGACACTGCCTTATAAACAATACAGGAATTTTCTCTCTTTTTTTTTTTTTTTAAAGACGGGGGTTTCACCATGTTGGTCAGGCTGGTCTTGAACTCCTGACCCAAGGTGATCTGCCCGCCTTGGCCTCCAAAGTGCTTGGATTACAGGCATGAGCCACCACGCCTGGCCCAAATACTGGAATTTTCAAAGTACTGTCTTGCCGTTTGGGACCAGAAATTCCCTCCCAGGAGGATTGGATATGAAGCCAGTTTGGAGGGGGAAACGGAGGGTGCCTGCCCCTGGGGCTGCCAGAGCCTTCTCTTTAGTCCAGAAGTTTTGTTTTGTTCTGTTTTTGAGACAGAGTTCACTCTTGTTACCCAGGCTGGAGCGCACTGGTGGGATCTTGGTTCACTGCAACCTCCACCTCGTGGTTTCAAGGGATTATCCTGCCCCAGCCTCCCGAGTAGCTGGGGTTATAGGCGCCCACCACCTAGCCTGGCTAATTTTGGAATTTTTAGTAGAGATGGGATTTCACCATGTTGGCCAAGCTGGTCTCAACTCCTGACCTTGTGATCCGCCTGCCTCAGCCTCTCAAAATGCTGGAATTACAGGCGTGAGCCTGGCCTTTCTTATTTTTCTTTTTTTCTTTTGTTTGTTTGTTTTTTTAGAGACAAGGTCTTGCTCTGTCACCCAGGCTGCAGTGCTGTGTCGTGATCATAGCTCACTGCAGCCCTGAACCCCTATGCTTAAGTGATCCTCCTGCCTCTGCCTCCCGAGTAGCTGGGACTATAGATAACACCATCATGCCTGGCTAATTTTTAAATTTTTTTTTTGAGACAGAGTTTGGCTCTTGTTACCCAGGCTGGAGTGCAATGGCACGATCTCGGCTCACTGCAACCTCCGCCTTCTGGGTTCAAGCAATTCTCCTACCTCAGCCTCCCAAGTAGCTGGGACTACAGGCGCGCACCACCATGCCCAGCTAATTTTTGTATTTTTAGTAGAGACGGGGTTTCACCATGTTGACCAGGATGGTCTCGATCTCTTGACCTCGTGATCCACCCGCCTCAGCCTCCCAAAGTGCTGGAATTATAGGCGTGAGCCACCGCGCCTGGCAGTTTTTAAATTTTTTTTTGCAGATATGTGGTTTTGCTGAGGCTGGTCTGGAACTCCTGACTTCAAGTGAGCCTCCTGCCTCTGCCTCCCAAAGTACTGGGATGAGCAACCACATCCGGTCATTGTCCCTCTTTCTCATGACCCTCTGGACATCCCTGCGGTGGAGGGTGGGGCAGGCCCACACATCCCTCAAGCTCCCAGTACCTCCACAGTGACTAAGCCAGCCCTGTCCCTGAGACTGGGAGGCTAGAGCTAGGCTCCACCCCATGGCCTCACATCCCAAACTTGAACCTGGGTTTCTGGTCAGGCTGGAAGGGTGAGCTCAGTCTTCTTAATGCTCAGAGCTGCCAGTGGGTCCCACACAGCCAGGCACACCCCACCCCACAGGGCTCTTGGGAAATTCTCTGCCCCACCCCCGGGCTGCCTCAGACAGACCAAGGTTACCTGTGATTGTCCCAGATAACCCAGTGTGCCCATCCCCTGCTCTGGGTGACTCCCTCCTTGCCGCTGACCTGTACTTTTTTTTTTTTTTTGGTGAGACAGAGTCTTGTTCTGTCACCCAGGCTGGAGTGCGGTGGAGCCTCTCAACACAACAACCTCTGCCTCCTGGGTTCAAGTGATTCTCCTGCCTCAGCCTCCTGAGTAGTTGGGATTACAGGTGTGTGTGCCAACACACCCAGGTAATTTTATATTTTGATTAGAGATAGTTTCACTTTGTCGGTCAGGCTGGTGTCGAACTCCTGACCTCAAACGATCTACCTGCCTCAGCCTCCAAAAGTGCTGGGATTACAGGAGTGAGCTCCTGCGCCTGGACAACCTGCACATTTTGAAAAGCTGAGGATACATCCTCAGCAAGGAGGGGTGCTCCTTCCCTGCTGGCCTGGCCACGCCCCAGACTGGACAGGCCCCTTCCGGCTCTTCCCAGGCACCCAAGTGGCCCCACGCCTCCTCCTGCCTGGTGTCAGTTTAGTGAGAATCTCACTTCTTCCCCAAAACTTTCTCTTCCAACTCGTTTTTTCATTTTTCTTTTTCTTCCTGAGACAGTGTCTGGTTCTGTTACCCAGGCTGGAGTGTAGTGGTATGATCACAGCTCACTGCAGCCTCAATTTCCTAGGCTCAAGCAGTTCCTCCCACCTCAGCCTCCCGAGTACCAGGGGCTACAGATGTGTGCCACAAAGGCCAGCTAATTAAAAAAAAATTGGAGGGCCGGGTGCAGTGGCTCACACCTGTAATTCCAGCACTTTGGGAGGCTAAGGCAGGTGGATCATGAGGTTAGGAATTCAAGGCCAGCCTGGTCAAGATGATGAAACCTCATCTCTACTAGAAATACAAAAATTAACTGGGTGTGTTGGTGCATGCCTGTAATCCCAGGTACTTGGGAAGCTGAGGCAGAGAAACGCTTGAACACTGGAGGCAGAGGTTGTAGTGAGCCAAGATCGCGCCACTGCGCTCCAGCCTCAGTGACAGAGCAAGACTCCGTCTCAAAAAAAAAAAAAAAAAAAAGCCAGGCGTGGTGGCTCACTCCTGTAATCCCAGCACTTTGGGAGGCCGAGGCGGGTGGATCACAAGGTTAAAAGATCGAGACCATCCTGGTCAACATGGTGAAACCCTGTCTCTACTAAAAATACAAAAAAATGGCCAGGGGCGGTGGCTCAAGCCTGTAATCCCAGCACTTTGGGAGGCCGAGGTGGGTAGATCACAAGGTCAAGAGATCAAGACCATCCTGGTCAACATGGTGAAACCCCATCTCTACTAAAAATACAAAAAAATTAGCTGGGCATGGTGGCGCGTGCCTGTAATCCCAGCTACTCAGGAGTCTGAGGCAGGAGAATTGCCTGAACCCAGGAGGCGGAGGTTGCAGTGAGCCGAGATCATGCCATCGCACTCCAGCCTGGGTAACAAGAACGAAACTCCGTCTCAAAAAATATATATATATTCGCTCCACTGCACTCCAGCCTGGGCGACAGAGTGAGATTCCGTCTCAAAAAAAGTTTTTATTCTTTTTGTAGAGATGGGGATCTCTCTCTGTTGCCCAGGCTGGCCTCAATCTTCCTGCCTCAGTCTCCCAAAGTGTTGGGATTACAGGCGTGAGCCACTGCACCTAGCCTCTGGTTTCCCCATGTAGGGCCGGATCATTCTTTGTGCAGGCAGCTACCTTGTGCATCTGGGATGTTGAGTAGTAGCATGATCTCAACCTAGTCCCAATGAAAGATGTCTCCAGATGTTGCCAAATGTTGGGATGGGGTGGGGCTCAGCCTTGCCACCTGCCTCAGCTGTCCTACCTATCCACACGCATGCCAACCTGCAAAGTAACTTGGAGTGTGTGTTTTCTTTCTTTTTTTTTTTTTCTGATACAAGGTCTTGTTTTCTACCAGGCTGGAGTATAGTGCTGCCATCTCAGCTCACTACAACCCCCGCCTCCCAGGTTCAAGTGATTCTCCTGCCTCAGCTTCCCGAGTAACTGGGATTACAGGCGTGCACCACATGCCCAGCTAATTTTTGTATTTTTAGTAGAGATGGAGTTTCACCATGTTGGTCAGGCTGGTCTCGAACTCCTGAACTCAGGTGATCCACCCGCCTTGGCCTCCCAAAGTGCTGGGATTACAGGTGTGAGCCACTGCGCCTGGCCTGTCTTTTCTAATCTTGGGCCTGGTTTGAGTCCTTGAACCTACAGTAGTGGAGGTGATCTGTGGGTTCCAGAATCTTGGGGAGGGACTGGTGACACTCTAACAGGACCCCTTGCACTGTCCCTCTGCCTGGAGAAGGGGTGCCAGCCTCCCATTTCCTGATGGGTGGGGAGCCTGAGGTGGGTGGAGCCAGGCTGCCTTGTTTCTACTTCTTGGTTCCCAGGGGTGGGTGGTGGCAGTGGTGCCCCTGGAGCCAGAGGGCATGGGGTGCCCCGACCCTGCCTCCACATTTGCTGGATGGTTGCTGGGGTGTGTGCTCCAAGACCTATGGCCCCTGTGGGCATGGAGGAGAAACCAGAGACTCAAGCAGATCTCCCTGCCTGCCTTCCGGCCTCACGTCCCACTCCGCCTTGGCTCTAGGCCAGGGGCTGCCGGAGTGGTGACTCAGAGGAGTGAGAAGGGGAGAGAAACAAAATGCAGGGTGGGGTGGAGGTCCTCTTCAATTCTCCAATCTCCACCATCCCAGCGTCCCCAGCAAAGCCAGGACCCTTGAGGTCACATCTCAAAACCGGCCACACTGCCCTCCTGCTGCTGCTCCTCCTCTTTTCCCCTCCCTCCCTCGGTGGGGTTTTTTTTTTTCTCCTGGAACCATGCTAGGGCAGGAAAGCGGAAATGAGTGTGGGGCGTGGAATGTCTCTGAGGTTGGAATATATTTAGGCCATGAGGAGAGTGTGTGTGTGTGCGCGGTGCTGGCCAGGGCCTGGCGCCAGCCCGGCGGGCTCAAGGAGTGAAGCTGGGGGGCCCTGAGCTGGTGTGGGGAGGCTTCTGCCTTCTCCTTTTTCTTGAGATGGAGTCTTGCTCTGTTGCCCAGGCTGGAGTGTACAGTGGTGCAGTCTTGGCTCACTGCAACCTCTGCCTCTGGAGTTCAAGAGATTCTCCTGCCTCAGCCTCCCAAGTAGCTGGGATTACAGGCACCTGCCACCACGCCTAGCTAATTTTTGTATTTTCAGTAGAGATGAGGTTTCACCATGTTGGCCAAGCTAGTCTTGAACTCCTGACTTTGTGATCTGCCCCGCCTCACCCTCCCAAAGAGCTGTGCTGGGATTACAGGTGTGTGCCACTGCGCCCAGCCCCCCTCTCCTCCCTCTCTTCCTCCCTTCCCTCTCCCCCTACTCCTCATTTCCTTCCCTTTGCTTTCTTTCTTTTCTTTTTTTTTTTTTTGAGGCTAACTTTTGTATTTTTAGTAGACATGGGGTTTTGCCACTCCCCTCCCTCCCCTCCCTTCTCCTCCCTTTTTTTTTTTTTTCTTTTTTTGAGATGGAGTTTCACTCTTGTTACCCAGGCTGGAGTGCAATGGTGCGATCTCGGCTCACCGCAACCTCCGCCTCCTGGGTTCAGGCAATTCTCCTGCCTCAGCCTCCTGAGTAGCTGGGATTACAGGCACGCGCCACCATGCCCAGCTAATTTTTTGTATTTTTAGTAGAGATGGGGTTTCACCATGTTGACCAGGATGGTCTCGATCTCTTGACCTCGTGATCCACCCTCCTTGGCCTCCCAAAGTGCTGGGATTACAGGCGTGAGCCACTGCGCCCAGCCCTCCCCTCTCCCTCTCTTCCTCCTTTCCCTCTCCCCCTACTCCTCATTTCCTTCCCTTTGCTTGCTTTCTTTTCTTTTCTTTTTGAGACGGAGTTTCACTGTTGTTACCCAGGCTGGAGTGCAATGGCACGATTTCAGCTCACCACAACCTACGCCTCCTGGGTTCAAGCAATTCTCCTGCCTTAGCCTCCTGAGTAGCTGGGCTACAGGCGCGCACCACCATGCCCAGCTAATTTTTGTATTTTTAGTAGAGACGGGGTTTCACCTTGTTGACCAGGATGGTCTCTATCTCTTGACCTTGTGATCCACCCGCCTCGGCCTCCCAAAGTGCTGGGATTATAGGCGTGAGCCACCGCGCCTGGCACGTATTTTCCTTTTAAAAACATAAGACTATGGCCAGGTGCAGTGGTTTACGCCTGTAATCCCAGCACTTTGGGAGGCTGAGGTGGGTGGATCACCTGAGGTCAGGAGTTCGAGACCAGCCTGACCGACATGGAGAAAACCCGTCACTACTAAAAATACAAAATTAGCTGGGCGTGTTGGCACATTTCTATTAATCCCAGCTACTGGGGAGGCTGAGGCAGGAGAATCGTTTGAATTCAGAAGGCAGAGGTTGCCGTGAGCTGAGATCGCGTCATTGCACTCCAGCCTGGGCAACAAGAGTAAAACTCTGTCTCAAAAAAAAAAAAAAAAGAAAAAAAGAATACTTTTTAAAAAATGGGTAATTCTCCCAGACTCCCTGCTATGGGAGTTGAAGGGGCAGATGTGGGGTGGAGGGAGAGAGGAGCTGGTGTTGGCACCGTCTAAACCGGGCCTTGCTAAATGCAGCCCACCACCTGTTTCTGCACAGCCTGTGAGTTAAGAATGGCTTTTTCATTTTTAAATGGTTGAGGGGGAAAAAAAATCAAAAGGGAAATTTCACGACATAGGGAAAAGTATATGCAATTCAAATTTCAGTGTCCATAAATAAAGTTTTATTGGCACGGAGCTGTGCTCATTCATTTACCCTGTATCCGTGGCTGCTTTTACGATCCACAGCAGAATTGAGTCATTCAACAGACTGTCTGGCCCTCGAAGCTGAAAATATTTACTGTCTGGCCCATTGGAGAAGAAGCTTGTGGACCCCTCTTCTAAGGGGCCTGAGACCCTCGCATCAATCTGTCCCTGTTTCAGATGGTCCCAGGATCACTTCTTCATTGGACGGTAAAGAGGTTGGTGTGATTTGGAGGCAGGAGGGCTCGCTGAGGACTGATCCTTAACACTGGATTTCCCCTGGGGAGGAGGGGCATTTGGGTCTTCAAGGTGAAGCGGGATTGAGGACTGAGGTGGGCAGACTGGCTGGCTGTGGGCACCTCAGGAGCAAAGGCCAGGAAGCCAAACCTCTGCCTCCACTCGAGCGCCTCCGCTCAGTTTGAGGCCCCCCTGGGCAACATAGCAAAACCCTGTCTGTACAAAACAATGAGCCGGCCAGGCCTGGTGGCTCACGCCTGTAATCCCAGCACTTGGGAGGCCATGGCGGGCAGATAACCTGAGGTCGGGAATTAGAGGCTACCCTGGCCAACACGGAGAAACCCATCTCTACTAAAATTACAAAACTAGCTGGGCGTGGTGGTGCATGCCTGTAATCCCAGCTACTCGGGAGGCTGAGGCAGGAGAATCGCTTGAACCTGGGAGACAGAGAGGTTACGGTGAGCCAAGATCGCGTCATTGTACTCCAGCCTGGGCAACAAGAGCGAACCTCTGTCTTAAAAAAAAAAAATGTTAGCCAGGCATGGTGACATGTGCCTGTAGTCTCAGCAGTTTGGGAAGCTGGGGTGGGAGGGATTGTTCGAAACCAGGAGTTCCGGTTGCAGCGAGCCATGATCACACCACCGCCCTCCAGCCTGGGCAACAGAGTGAGAACTTGTCTCAAAAACAACAAAAAAGAAAATTAGGAAAGAGAGACAAATAAAAGAGGCCAGGCGAGGTGGCTCACACCTGTAATTCCAGCACAGGTCAAGGCAGGTAGATCACATGAGGCCAGGAGTTCAAGATCAGCCTGGCCAACATGGTGAAACCCCATCTTTACTAAAAATACCAAAAAAATTTAGCCAAGTGTGGTGGTGTGCGCCTATAGTCCCAGCTAATTGGGAGACTGAGGCAGGAGAATCACGTGAACCCAGGAGGCAGAGGTTGCAGTGAGCCAAGACTGTGCATCTGGGCGACAGAGCAAGACTCTGTCTCAAAAAAAAGAAAAAAAAAAAAAAATAAGCAAGCTCCCCTGTCGCATCTCATGAAACAGATCTGTTTCATGGACCACCTCCCCCTCCCAGCGCCAGGCCCACCTGCCATCACCATATCTCACCCCGTCCACTGTCACTGTCCACACCAGCCCTGTCTCTCATTGTCTTGGGTCTGGAGATGTGCCCTGAGCTCCCATAGTTGGTTCCCCACCTCTTTTATCTCCTCCTCTCAGCACGACCACTGCATTTTCCTTACCTTTCTTTGTTTTCTTTTGTTGTGTTTCTTTCCTTTTCTTTCTTTTTTTTTTTGAGACAAAGTTTCGCTGCTGTTACCCAGAC